AATAATCTAAATACTCCTAGTTGGTGATTGATCAAGAAAATTTTTTTTTTGAATTTTAGCATTAATGTTTTTAACAGCTTTACTCCAGACTGTGTTTTTACATAAATATTTTCAATTATGTTTTACAACTGGAATGAGGGTAGCCTTGAGTGATTTTTTTTTTGGATTTTTTTTTTTTGTTTACAAGATTATAATAAATAACCCCTTGATAATAATAATACAAAAAATAGGTTAGAGCTGGTCTGATATCTGCAATTTATCAAAAATCACTTAATCTTTCAAACAGCGCTCGTCAAAAATCTACAGTTGGAGAAATTGTAAACCGTATGTTTTTTTTATTTTAAAAAATAAGCATATAAATTGTTTCATTGGGCTTTTGTAATTAACAAACATGTAATATATACATATATATTAAGATATGAGTGTGGACGCACAAAGATTTATGGATCTATGCACATACCTACACATAATTTGGTCAGGTCCTTTACAAATATTCTTGGCCTTATACCTCTTATATGAAACAATGGGTGCTAGTATTTTTGCCGGTGTTGGTGTTATGTTAATGATGTTGCCTGTTAATGCATTTCTTGCTGGAAAAATGAGAACTCTACAAAAGAAACAAATGGTTAATAAAGACGAAAGAATCAGATTAATGGTAAATTCCTATTATAATTATTCTTGTGAATTTCACCAGATTTGATTGTGTATCCTAAATTCTTATATTTTAATTTACCAAGAATGAAATACTTAATGGAATCAAAGTTATTAAACTTTATGCTTGGGAATCCGCTTTTTTGAGAAAGGTACAAATTTTTACTTTGGAAATTTTTGATGACGAAATTAGTTATTCATGTATAATATTGTAAGCTTTTCTCATAATATTATTTTTATAAGATCTTTCATGTTAGGAATGATTTGGAGTTAGAAACTTTGAAAAGTTGATTTTTATATATTACAATAAAATATAAAATAATGTTATTTTACCATAAATCATCCATTGTTAAATATTTTTCATGGCCAAGTTTCATAAGTGGAGTCATCCAGTAAAAGGTAATTCGTGAATAAATATTTGATCTTGACTCTGGACAACTTTGCTGTTTAATTAACAATAGTTGTTGGTTTAATAAAAATCATTTATATATATAAATTAAGTATGAATCTAAATTTAACTACGTTATCTTCATTAATGAGTAAATATTCACTCCTTGGCCTAGGAATAAGATCCAAGATAAATATAATTAATGCCAAAACCAATGTTGATACAAATGAAATTATCAAGACAGGATTTGAAAATTGATAATCCTTGTTGACGAAAGTTCTCAATTTTATCAATCCAACAATTAAATAAATTGGCCAGTACAATAATAAAACAAATGATGCTACATAACTATTTTTGTATGATTTTTGATGAAGCATTAAAGCCAATATCTAAATAAATCATTAAGCATTAATAAATTTAAATAAATTAATTTTGAACCTTTATAATTATAAAATATTTTACCATGGCCAATACATTAATAAATGATGAAAAGACTATTATGTCTAGAATATGTAAATTAACTTCAAGTATTGAAATTCCAAATAAGACTAGGCTCAAGGTGATCAACATTGATAAGCATGCCTGAAATAAAGAACTTTAAGTTTTTATTTTAATAATAATAATGAGGATTTTTTGAAAGTACCAGTTTCATATAATGCCATTTTTGAAATTCTTCATAAGGAGTAATGCTGTGATTTTTTGATAATCGATATAATTCGATGGAACCGCAAATTATAAACAATAAGTTTATGGGCAAAATTAAAGCACTAATGTAAAAATATTAATAAGCATTAATGAAAAGTTTTATTGATTATATTGAATGAATGAATGAGTGAGTGAATGAATGAGTGAGTGAGTGAATGAATGAGTGAGTGAGTGAACAAATGAATGAGTTAATGAGTGAATTACCCATCCTCAAAGCATAAAGTAAAATCTGGAGTTTCTTGAGTTGGTCTCCAAGGGCCCTTTAAGGAAAATGAGTTTGGTTAAATTCTTTTAAAAAATTACTTTAATTAAAAACTTTGGATTATTATTACTTACATAACCTTCTTCGTCACGACAAAAAAAATTAGAAGCCATTACTGTTTTATAAAGCAAGAATAGAAGAAGGGAATTAGATCGCAAATCGTTTTGAGTCATGTGAAAAGGACCCTTTTCATTATGCACAGTTTTGTGAAACCGTGATATACATGAAAACATAAAAAAGGAGAATTATTTATTATCATTATTACAGTCCATAAATGGGAAAACTTTTTATTATATTATATGGAAAAAAAAAGGACCGCTAAAGGGTTTACCTTTGTTTTTGAAAATATCTGCAATTGTCCCTCACATGTCACCGCCAAATCAAACAGTCAAACATACCTTTGCTTTTTTATGATATAAGGTGGGTGGTGTCATTTTTAAATTTTAAAGTAAATTCTTACCTTCATCATTACTATTTAAGGTATCTGATGGAGGTGTCCACAGTCATATCAATCATTTAATCCACCTTTTGGAATCTGCAAAAGGCTTTGGTATTTGTGATGCTTATGTGCATTTTTTTGGTGATGGGCGTGATACCGATGCCCCAAAAGTATAAGATCATTGCAATGTATAAAACGTTCGCTGATTTTCTTTTTTCCAATTTTCATATCGTTTTAAAATCATATTAGTTTTCCAGTGTTTTATCTCCCACTTACTACAATAAAGAAAGGCCACTTTCGACTATCATTGTCATCTAAAAAGTTTTTTTTGATGGCTTAATTTCATCAAAGTGGTATATAATAATATTTCATTCTGATACCAATTCAATTATATTTATGATATTTTTTCTTGACAAAAGTGATCTGCGTTCCAAATTGGAACGCACACATGTCTTTTTTCTAATACTAATATATATGTATAAACATGACAAACCTTACTGAAGCTCAAATTTATGCTGAAAAATGCGGGGGGGGAGTCCATATCCAAACTGGTACTACAAATTTGTTATTCTCGTGCGATAGAAACCACTTATGGGTAGAGATCAATTGAAGTTGTTACGAAGAAACACGATTGGTGTCCTCTTTGTCCTCATTCAAAAGGGGAGGTATATATTTGAAGATCTGCTAGGAAGAAAGTTCCCACTTCACGCACCAAAGTTTTTACAAGGAGTGCGTTTTGATGGATACAACGAAGAATTGCAACTGGCCCTTGAATTTAATGGGCATCAACACTATGCTCTCAACCTAATGTTTCATAAGAGTGGGCAAATAGATTTGGGTGAGCGAATAAAGCATGATCAAATTTATCCAAAAGAGAGAGTATATGTCTCATCTCAATACCATATTTCGCAGATATTGAATCTTTTATATGGGAGGCTCTAATAGTCGAAAAATATGTCACAAGAAGTCTAATTACATATATGGACATACAGCAACAAAACCAGACAAAGTGAACATTGGTATTACCAAGAATTTCAGGGATCAATAATGTTCATTTAACATCACAATTGTATTATCAATGTAATGTATGATCATGATATTTGTAGGATTATCTCTAGATAAAAATAGTAAATATGAAGTTAATTTACATTAGGTCTACTATGGAACCCAAAAATTACAGCACAATCAGAAGTATTTTGAAGAAAAAGCAAGGAGAGAAAATTACACCTTACATTTTTAGCAGGTCATATTATCGTAATACTGTCGAAGGTATAAATACATGTATAATTTTCGAGAGTTGAGTTAAAGACATCATGTTAATAACCTCTGAATTAATAACAATAATCTTCTCATAAAAATTATCTCTTAATAAAATTCTTAACTTTTTTGCATCAAACATATTTTTCCGCCTGAAATAAAACAATTACATCTTTTATATAAAACCAACTTATTTACGAAATTCGTTGCTGAAGAAGCAAACTCATAAACCCACCTCTAATTAAAATTGTAATTAGCAGTTTGGCCAACTCTAATCATTAGTCCCTTCGCAAAACGTATATTAAAAGACGTATTACGAAGGTATATGGGAAAAGACTTACCGGGAAAAATAAGCAAAAAGGATTTGCCGAAAAAGTGCAAGCAAATTAGGCTCTTATGAAAAGCGTAAGCAGATTTAGTCTTACGAGAGATGTAAGCAGAAGTGCAAATCATAAATCCGTGAGATCACTATGTCGCACTTGTATATAATATATTGCTGATGCAAGACAGCCTAGATTAAAAAAACAATCAGCCAAGGTTACGTTTTTTATTGGTTGAAGGACTGTAATTAATTGACGTATGTCATCAAAAAAAACATGCGAATTGATTGTTTTCGAATTGGGTGGGTATGATTTATTAAAACAGACAGCTTGTTAATTTATTGATTTATGTGAAATAACAATAAATAAGCATTAACGTATAATTTAAAAAGGTTCATGTGCACTGCTTCTATTATTAGTATTTTTAAATTTTGTGTAAGATATGAAGTGTATTTTATTGAATTAATTCGAATTATATATATGTATATATCATAGAGGAATTATTTGTTTATAAATATACATGTATTAATATCTTATAATTAGTTTTGCAATATTAAATAAAGCCTACGCGAGCAATTATTGTGATGTATTGATATTTTTAATTATACAACTTCTGTTTTTTTGTTGGGATGGATGGATTCCGACATCTTCGTAACTTTCTACCAATAAATGACTCTGTGTAGGATCTTTATATTTTTTGATAACATCTATCAAACAATTAACTCTACGTTCTGAAATCAATGATTGAATTTTAGAGTATCAACATTGCTAATAGAAAATTGACGCATTATGAGGACTTTTTTTTTCACTTTTCCATTTTTTCACTAATTCATAAATATTTTTTCCATTGCTATTTAAACTTTCTTTTACCAACTTTTCCATATTTTCTTGATCTGAAATTTTGTCACTGACAATGTTACTAAATGAGTTGTTTACTGTTTCAATAATTCCTCTGGCACCTCTTGATAGAAATCTTATAGTCTTTCTTCTATTGTATTCTGTCCTAAATCAAACGGAGGTCTTGCAACCTCTAAATATAATAATTCTATATATCATATATCCAAGACAAATTCACACAATCATTTAAGTTTTTTCCTCTTCTCTAACACCAAGACTTTGTACCATAAATTGTAATCAAGACTTACATTATGGTTAAATTAAAAAGTTTGACCTAATATTAATATTAAACAGATGTTAAATATTTGACATTAAAGATTAAGTATTTCTTTGCTCTTGTAAGACAGTTAAAAAAACAAGGAAACCAACGTAAAATCATGAAAAGTGTCTAACATTTGTGAAATCAATATTTCATAATTGCGTATCTCAACAATTACATAACATAATTAAATAAATTTAGATTCCTTTGAAAGGTTATCAAATTACTTTGTTAATAAAAAAAATAGACATGAAAATACTATTGCCAATTTTCTGTAAAGCCAATTCATATCTTTTTGCTAAACTTTTGTCTCTGAAATTTACATGGAATTTTTTCAGACACAAAAATATACATAATCATACAAAAAATTATACCGGTTTGTAACGAAATTTCTGAAGATTGTGTATATAAACCTTCATACATCCAGATTTTCTAGAATTTTGTCTATTAGAAATAAAGGAATTCGATTATTTTGAAAACAATTCAATGCGAAAATTTCTTTAATAATTGCTCTAAAGGTTACATAACAATGTGCTTTTAAAAATTTTATATGTTATCTCTAGTATAATTAATAGTTAAATCCTTGTTAGTACGGTATAAGTTCAATTTTACGAAGTAAATTTGAGCTTAAACTTGTATTTATCCCAGTGGTTTAACTGATTTATCCCCCACTATTTATGCCACTTTTACGTGTAACTTTTTCCACTATCAAGAAGATTTTTGTTGGTGGTTTAATACAAATTGATTTATTCTTTTCTAAAATTTGTATATTTCATCTCGCTTTGCGGAATGTTGCTCCACTATTATCATTACTATTACTAAAAAACTATTACTCATTCTAAATTTGCAAAATAACGATGGTAATTTTAGTATTTAAAAATGGGAGATATTTTTTTAATTTGGTAATATATATTTTTATTGAACATAACTTTACATTGTTCTATTACTGGACTTAATTGTTATAGATTACAAAATGAAAATCCAAGGATCACTGTAGCTAAACTTACTCTTCCAGACATTTCGGATAATGATTCAAAATCAAGCGAAACCCACCAGTCACTACTGAAACAGATAATACATGTGACTTGATGAATGATGATCAAGATGCAATTTCCAGTTCTAGTGATGCATTCAATGATATTTCCGATTTAAAAGATCAAAATTATAATAAAATTGAAGGACAAAAATTTAAATTTATTAAATGTCATGTATGATATTAATATTAACAGTGTTATCAGCGGACGCGGACATGGACATGGACACGGACTGTCCGTGTCTGTGTCCGTCACTTTAAATGTCCCGGACCATTCTTGGACAAAAACCAAAGCAATTCAAAAACGTTTTGTAAACATGCGTTGAAAAATTAGGAGAGGAGGAAAGGAAGAAAAAATGGTTTCCAAACAAAAAGGATCAAATAATTCGGCATTTAATTAATTAAATGATTCTATATTAATAATCCAGAGCCTTGCTTTAGGGTAGAGGCAGAAAGTTAATATAAAATTATTTTTTTACAAATAATTTATTTGTAATAAACATTTTCATAATTTAAACAAATTAATTCTTTTTTTGTTTAATAAACACTTTTATGGTCGGAAATTAAACAGTAGGGTTTAACCTCCATTTGGTTATCAGAGTGGTTAAAGCAAAGATTTTTTTTTTAGATATTTGTTTTAGTAAGAAAGCAAAGGTTTAATTTTTTGGTTTTTGTTAAGTGTAAATGTTTGTTTAATTTTTTGTTAATTGACCACCCTATACAAGCCATTATCACATATTGATTTATTTATTGTAAAGTAATTGTTGCAAACATACAGCTGACTTCAATTGGCCAAAGAAAGTAAAAGTAAAGCAAATAAAAGGAACTCTACAGGAGCTTTATTGCTTTGTTGATTGTACCATAAAGTGTTTACAAATTCACCAAAGCTTTAAGAAAGAGGTAGTAGGCAAAATTTTATATTTTTGTCCAAGAATGACCCGGGACATTTAAAGTGACGGATACGAACACGGACCGGACAGTCCGTGTCCATGTCCGTGTCTGCTGACAACACTGGTTATCATGTAAGCTTTAGAGCAATGATTAAAAAAACTTAACATGAATTTTTATTTTATTGTTTAAAATCTAGAAATGCAGGATCTCCAGAATATATGCCGCAAGTGATATAATTTTTTTGTACAGTTATTATGTACGTTTTTGCGTAAATGATGTATTTAGGATGACTGAAACTTTTGCTAAGGTACTGTATATATATAATAGTATGGTACTTT